TGGGCTGTCTACACTAGCCCTTTTCCGGAACAGTGTTCTGGAATAAGGACTTATGCCTAAGCAGGAGCAGAATAGTTTTTCCGGAATAGAGGCTGATTTTGTACAGTAGAGCATCGTTGCTTTTCCGGAAATTCAAGGGCCAGTGTAGACAGCTCGCAGCTTATTCCGGAAAAGCGGCTGATTTTCCGGAATAAGTGGCCCAGTGTAGACACAGCCTATGAGTCTATGTATTCCCTGCTGGGCTCCTGAAGAGCACGAGAGAGGCCACCCACCAAGAAAAGCCATTCTCCTATCCCCTGGCTCAATCCCTGTGCTACCCACAGGGTGATGTGTTTTCTGTCTAGTGACAAGCACGGGTGTTCTTGGGCCATCGTGTTTCCCCACCTCCAAGCCCAGAAACCTCTCAGAAATAAAGCGGGCCAGCAAGTGTCTTGCTTTCCTAGGGAAAATGCTGATTTGTCACCAAAGAGTCACATATGGAAAGAGCTCGGCCCAACCCAAAATACTTCAGCTGGGTTATTTGGCAAAACGGGTCAGCTAGGAAAGGTGGCTCCTTGTGGGAGTTGTAGTTCATGTGCCTCAGGCTCCCATTCTCCTCCCTCGTCAGACTGCATCCCCCATGATGCCTCACAGAACGTGTTACGGGAGTCCTTGACAGTGGTGCATCCTGGGAATTCAGCCCATGCAGGAGAATGGGGACATGCCACAGCAAAAGTAAGAGGCAAGAAGTCATTCTTCCACCCAGCACTGGTGAAGTCTCCACTGGCGTGCTGGGTCCAGTTCTAAGCACCACGGTTCACGAAGGATGTGAACAAATCAGAGAAAGTCCAGAGGAGAGCCGCAAAAAATGATTAAAAGTCTAGAAAACATGACAGGGAAAGAAGGAAATAACTGAGTTTGTTTAGTCTGGAGAGGAGAGGACTGAGGGAGGACATGATAACAGTCTTCAAGTACATTAAAGATGTTTTTAAAGAGGAGAGTGATAAATTATTCTCCTTAACGACGGAGGACAGGCCAAGATGTAATGAGCTTAACTTGCAGCGAGGGAGATTTAGAATAGACTTTAGGGAAAGCTTCCTTTCAGGGTAACAAGTTGCCTAGGCAGATTAAGGAAACTCAATTACTGGAGGTTTTTAGGAACAGATTGGACCTGTCGGGATGGTCTGATACTTAGTCCTGAGATGAGTGGAAGGGACAGGACTAAGTGATCTACCAAAGTCTTTTCCAGGCCTATATTTCTATGCTAAACTACAGTTCCCATGATGCATTGTGGTAGTATATCCAAACTCAGGTATTTCTGTGTTTAGCCCCGCTCGTTTTTAGCGGAAAAATTATTTGTCAAAAACAAATCACAATTTTCAGTCAAAAACCAGCTTTGCAGGAAAACTCGGTCAGACTCCTGAGTGAAAATCTTTAATTCTTTTCCAGGCCTATATTTCTATGCTAAACTACAGTTCCCATGATGCATTGTGGTAGTATATCCAAACTCAGGTATTTCTGTGTTTAGCCCCGCTCGTTTTTAGCGGAAAAATTATTTGTCAAAAACAAATCACAATTTTCAGTCAAAAACCAGCTTTGCAGGAAAACTCGGTCAGACTCCTGAGTGAAAATCTTTAAT